TTTGATATTACATATATAGGTACTACATGTTGACCTCTCTCAGATTTGTTCATTTTGTGATGATATCTTCAATTCTCTAGTTTTGGTGAATATTTTTGTCATTTTTGGTAAAAAGTGATATTTTCGACTTCTTGTTGAAAACTGTAAGTCCGACTGCTTTGATATTACATATATAGGTACTACATGTGGACCTCTCTCAGATTTGTTCGTTTTGTGATGATATCTTCAATTCCCTAATTAATTTATTTTGGTGAATATTTTTGTAATTTTTGGTAAAAAGTGATATTTTCGACTTCTTGTTAAAAACTGTAAGTCCGATTGCTTTGATACTATTCATATTGTTCATTTTCTAATGATGTCTTCAGTTCTTTAATTGAAATGTGCATTGCTAACAGCGGAGCTATCTCAGCCGATAGGCTGCTTGTTTAATGATATGTTTCGATCATAAAATGTCAAAATCGAAGACAAATATTTGGGTATCGTGCCTGAAGAAGGGTAAATAAAGTATAGTTCATTTCAATTACCCCAAAAATCAAACATGAACAATTTTTGGGTAAAGGTATGAAAATTTGTTGCGAAAATGTGCCGCTGCTGGTAAAATAGATGAATTAAAGAACTACTCGCCAGCTAAAATATGACCTGATACAGATATCCTGCTTAAAAAATTATGTGAAAAAGCATGAATTCTGGAATAAACAACTAAGTTGTAAAAAAACACATAGCAATGACATTGTCAAAAATAGTGACTGACTGTGTATTGATCACGTGACAATGCTTTGCGCATACCCGCAATGTGCCTTCGCCACAATGACCGTTTCCAGACCGGGGATAGAGGGACTTCGGTATAACGTTTTCATTTCTCTGTCTTCCATGGAACATGTGCCAAAATGAAAAATCTAGCACCATCCTGCAAGTGTTGGGACAATTGTCATATTTTGTTTTGTTTTTTTGATAAACCCAGTTTCTGCCTTTAATGTGGCCGTCATTGCGCGCAGACTCCATATGAATGAATCTTTTTTTTTATCCAAAGGCCATAATTTCAAACATATCTACTTTATTTAATTACTCATGGTATATAAGGCCTATCTATATATTTCTTCTTTGGAGAAGAGAACTGTGACATTTATTTTGCGTAAAGGCTGCATGTGTATATATTTAAATATTAATGTATCTCACTTTGCATAACAATGAATATGATGGATGCACTACACTATTACCAAAGAGAATACTTGTCTCCATCCAATCGCATGTTGGGTCTGAAGAGTCCATAAAATTCACTGTAAACACTGTTGAGACATCAAACCGTACCAACATTAGTAATTGATGCAACGCTTTCAGGTTCTATTAATGCAGTTTCAGATACTTGAACTTGGTAACAACTGCAAATCTTCAAGTTCAAGGTTTACCACTCACTCAAACCTGTTGTTACCTTCCTGTTTTAGAAATGCTTTAATACACAGTTCAGTGTTACATTTCTGTAACAAGACATAGTATGACCTTGAACTTAAAAATTGCGAATTATACCAAATGAATTGACTTTTTAGTTGCTTTTTTTTTTAACTATTATCGTAACTTAATAATGTTTTCCCATAATCTGTCGTTGTTGTTGACTTCACTGTTACCCTTGATGTGGTTCTATCAATCTTTATTATGCTATAATTATTTGAAAGTTCAATTTTGGTGATATTTGAATACATAATTAAAAACAAATTTGATTTTAAAGATTTGAATAGTAAAAAAAAAATTCCATTCAAACAAATATGTATATTCACAAGTTATACAATTTTAACATACAATCAATGTTAAAACATGCATATTGTTAAAACGTAGACCTCTCGTAATGTAACGAATAATGTGCACATATCAATAAATACTAGTGCTATTCAAATTTCTGAAAAAAAACCCGGAGTAATGAGGACAGTATGAATGGTGAGAAAATGGTGGTGCATTCACTATGTCTTGTACTACTCAATGGGAACACTGCTTTTAGACCACGTCACATTTACAGCATGTGTGTGTATGTGTGTACGAGTTGTCAAAGGGATTATCCCTGTAATTTGTATGCTGATTTCCATGCAGCCTTTCAATGCTGGTTGCCCCTGTACACCCGGCATTCTTCTCTAGCAATTTGTGGAGTAATAGGATGGTATTACGCAAGTCCTATCGCTAGACTCAATAAGGCTGTTGTGATGTTAGTTTGTAAGCTTTGAGTTTTTAAGTACATTTGTGTCCATAACAAGCAAATGTTGGGATTAATGCTATGAAATTAGTGTAGTCAGGAAAAAGCTTTGATAAGGCTGAGGTCTCATCATATTTTACATATCAGGAAGTTGTGTTATGCTAACATGTAAACATGATTTACAGTTGCCATACTTACAGCTGATATGTATCATCTACCGTACTGTAGTTGGTTTGAAAAAACGAATCGCTGTTGTTCAGCTTAGTTGCAGACAATTTCATTATCTGACTCTCTGTGAGATAGTGCAGTATCATGAATTTACTGAGGCATTTCTATAGATGCTTGTTTTTTTCACCTACAATTAAATTATTGCTATCCGCAAATTGGGTACTGATTATGCTTTGCTGCCTTCAAGGGCTCAGTTATCACATAAATTGGATAATTGGTCTCAGTCAGAGTGGACATTATATAATATATTTGCCCTATATGCGTTGCTGTGTTACTTCTTTCTCATTTTCTTGTTGATAAACATGATGTCTCCTTCTGTCAGCTGTTACTTGTATTTCAGTTTCTCATGCATATCACACATCTCAAACTAGCTCCTGTGTTATACACATGACCTAGCTATTGTGAGATGACATTTCTTCAAGTCCACTGCTCATTTTGTAAATAGGAAATATCTAATTAGTACCTAGCCTTGCCGTGTTGAATTCAGAACCGCTGCTTTGTCCTCATCCTATACAGATCTCACAACCTGATTAGACCACTGTGACATGATAGATGGGTTGCTATAGCGTTTGCGAGAAAAGAGAGAGAGAGGCATCTTATACTTTGCACCATGTATTCAACTACAGTAGGGCAGGCTAATACAGACTACAGAGAGTGACATGATTAGAGTTCTAGTGTGATTATCAGAAATTAATGCTTATCGTCTCTTGCGATGATCAATCATATGTACATTGCAATTTACATTTCGATCTACACCTAGATGTTTTTCTGTGATAAAATATACATAATTCTCTGCTTGCAGACTTCTCATGGATAAATCAATAAATTTTACTTATGTTTTAAATGGTAAGGCTATTAGTCGGTCTGTTTAGATATGCGTCTATTACAAATACAATCTGCAAGATTTGATTATTTTCTCATTTATTCTTTGTGAAAAATCTGTGACTACTTCAATTTTGTTTTTACTTTTTCATTGCGTATTATATTAAATGTGTCTTAATATATATACGATAAGTTTGTACATTGCAAATTGTATGAAATCAATGAGAATAACCTCATACTCGTCAATCCTGTGTGTTTACTTTGCATATGTTAGTATGGTCTTAATGTATTTTTTATGGTAATGCTTTTTAATTATTGATTCTATTATGCTTGGTATTTTTCTTATGTATGCATATTTAATAACCCCCCCATCTGTCTTCATTCATTCTCTGCAGTTACAAGAGTCAAGTCACAAGGCTCCGTTCGAGTGACTTTCAATGTAGTATCACGTGATATGAAGAAGCTTGGCTATGATGTAGTACCGTCCACACTGTCCATTCCAAGTGCCGCAACGGCTTCTGCGATGGCATCAAACCCTACCACTGGCGCTGGAGCTGCAGCAGTGCCAACAGCCAATGTATTTGCCATGAAAACTTCATAGCACAGTAGCTGTTTCCGCAAACCTGTTTTTGCGTGTTTTTTTTACTGAAACTATTTATACTTAAATCAGGTGTACAGTCGATGGTTTTGTAAAAATTATTTAAAAATCATACTTTTGTAATTATCGATGAAATTTATAGCATAAAATAAACTTAAATAAGTTTTAAATGAGTATTTAGAATCAGTTTGCTCAGTAGGATTATATCTTGTAATTTTGATCTTCTTGATTTTAGTTTAATTGTCATCAAGATATTGTACACTAATGAAGGGGATATTAGTTCAACATTTGACTAATTTTTGCTCAAAATATCTTTTTATGGAATACCCGGTAGAGTTGTTGGGGAGAAAACTAAATTCGTGTTTTCAAGGAAATGGGTATTGTTACCTTTTATGTTTGGTGGCATCCATAATTGTTAAGAGAAGGTTATTGAAATAATTTGTTTCGCATTTATTCATACTTGAAATAAACAGTTTAACAGCAGTATTTTTAATAAATCGTCCAGACTGTTGTTATAAACCATCAAACACTTAATTTAGTCTTTTTCTTTTTAAAGATATTTTGCATGTAAGATAATCCGGGCTTACCTGGACAGTTAACCCAATCATGAAATGCTTCTCTGATTCAGGATTATCTGTTGATTTCCCTCAGGCTTGCCACTCACCACTTCATGATGGTTGTTAAGCTGATTGTTGTAACTAAAATGTTGAATTTGTATTCATCCATCGGTTTTCCCAATAGGGATTACCATGTGAAATTCACTATACATAGTCATTACATGCTCACACATCTCCATGTAATCAAAAGTGTGTTTATATGAGGTCATTATTTTCGCAATCAACAGTTGCAATCAACAATGATTGCAATCAACAATTGCAAAACTAGTTTGTCAAATATAGTGCACCAACTGAAGGTGATCTGTGTAGATGAATGTGCAATATGCATGGTGATATCACAGGCTGGAATTTTTCTTTCTAATCTTCTCCAAATAGACATAATCTTCTTGATCACCAATATTCAGTGTGTGAAGTTCAGGTGTGCATTCAGAAAACAGCCCACAACAACTGATCCCATAGCTGAACAAATGTGATTAATAAACATTTTGAAGAAAAAAACTGTTCAAGGGTGGGGTTCGATCATAACGTAAATAACGTTGAACATTTTATGTTGATGTCATTCGTGAATGTATGCATTTATACTGTTGAGCTTAGCATGTTCATTAGTTGTACATTCAAATATCAGTACCAAACTGTTGATTAGTGGTGAATGTCTATATACAGCTTCTAAAGAGAATTTGTAATTATGTTAACAATTGTATACATCAGTATGTATCAAAGCCATTACAAATTTGTTAGTTTATCATATCCCAAATGCTTGTTTTTTTCTTAAAGTTACACAGATGTTGTTTTAGATGACCAATTACTCAAATGCACTGTAATAATTCAGATTAGTTTGTATTAATAAATCACATTTGTCATCCTTTCCCTTGTGTGTGTGTGTGTGTGCAGCTTATTTATTGTCCTCTCCATCGATTGTGGTGATGTCGCGACAGCTGTGAAATGTATTGTTTCGGTGCAGATGCAGTGGCCTCAGGCATTACAAATGAGTGTCCTACATACAAACGTACGTTTAGTGGTTCAGTGAGGTATAACTGTACATGTAGACTACGGTTCACATCAACTGTTCTGCTATGTATTTATGAGGCTGACAGTGTTGAACTTGAACTAATTGCATCACTGACAGATCTCACTGCTGACACAGTATCAACTTTATCTCCAACATGGAAAGACTGCAAACCAACACACAACATGAAATACGGGATTGAACCTCACAATCCCGGAATCTGCAGCCATGCTACCTACCACTCCCACCCCACTCTCAAGGTTTGATCTGAGGTTTGGTAAAGTGTAAATGCTCAATAGAATTTCATTTGATTACTTTCCAGCAAAATCTACCTAATAAATTACTCTACATTGCTGTCCTTATATCTGTTGATGATACACCAGACTCTTGGCACCACAGGCTTGTTTGATCTTTACATATCTGTTTGTAAAGGCATATTTACATGCTTATCAGAGCTGTGTGTGTATGATATTATTTAATATTTATGTTATTGAATGTTTGCGTAAGTCACATGTTATATAAATGTCACAAGATGGCGTATATACTGCAACTGTTATCTGTGGAATGTTATGTGAAGCACAATCTTTATCAGGAGGAAAAATTTAATCACAAGCCATTGTGACCATGCTAGAGTTGTTTGCATGATTAGGCCTTTTATTACATGTATATGGTCCAGATTTTTTGTTTGAATTATTGCGAAATAACACATCCGTGTAGCCAACACATCCGTGACACCAATAATGAAAAAGTAGTGTTTTCCTTTCAGTTGTGCACAGGACGAAGGTAAAAGCATTGTAGTAAAAGCAGATCAGTTCGTTGAGTCAGGGAGAGTATAGCGAATGACATTAAGTTTTGCACGTATTAGTACTTTAATTTGCACAGCAATAAACTTGAATATAATAATGTATGCTATGTATATAAGTATTTAATAATTAAATCAGTCTTTGTCTGTTATATAACATGTACCTCTATAAATACAATGTATTTCCTGATAATCTCTTTACTTCAATTTTTGCACTTGGTGTGTACTTGCTCCAGAACGATTATTGTTTCACTGTTGTTCCTTGGGGGTGATTCACTATCGAATTACATCGTCTGAATTCCGTTTCAACAAATAAAATAACTAATGGAGACAAAATAATTTCATTGTTAATGGCATTATCCTGTGAACAGCGATCTAGACTGAGTGCATACGGTAGATTAGTTTCTTCTCACCCCTTGATTCATCCTAAGCAAACAATTTTACAAAACATACACAAACTTTCATGCACCAATATAGTTGTACTAATAGTACCTTCCATAGTTGTACATATACACGTAACTGCAGAGAGTGTCAGAGAACGGTTGCGTGTGTGTATTTTGTATGCCCACGCCATGACGTGCTCTCCACCTGTGTGGATATACCAATACAAAACAAAAATATTTAGATTAAGGTGTGATGCAAAAACACGCGATATGAAACTCAGCCTGTAGAATGAACAAAGAAAAACATTTTATATACATAACTGTTATTATCCAATCAGAAAAGAGTGGTTGAATGATGACATAAATAATTTTCCTAGTACAAGATTGAAATAGTTGAATAACAAACAGTAATTTGTATAAGTAAATAACGTTTAAGCCCAAAGGCCTGTCAGATCGTGTTTGCATTCTGCCTCAACAAGTGTAAAAGAACTAATTTATCGAAGTCCTGTTCACGACCTACTGTCTCGTTACTAACGTAATTGCTTTAGAAGTGATTCACTTAGTGGCTTCGGTGGGTATTATTCTCGGAAGGAAAGCATCACGGCGGTTGGATAAATTCAGACTTTGAAGAAACAAGGCCACGTTCGAATAATGTCACAACACAAACAAACCAATTAGTACACGTGTATATGAACCCATGAAGGCGGTTCAAAGAATCTCCAACAACATTACTTGAACCTACGTCGGAGATTGGAAACAAATTGAAGCAATTTGTCGTCTAATTGTTTTAAACAGAATGTGGATCCTTGGTATATATATAAACAGCATAATATAGCTTAAAGGATGTGATATTGTCAGTCAATTGACATTCTGTTGGATATCATCACGATATTAGTTATGTTTGCCTTGGATTTCCCGGGTTTTCTGTCGCTGCCATATTCAACACCATCTGACTATTGGCTACGGTCCCTATTGTCTTTCCATCCTCGCCCGAACCGGAGTTTCGATTGAGTTTCGTCTCGCCCTCGATGTCAGTGTCGTAAAGTCTCTTGCAGGTAACCACTTTAGCAAAACACTTGCGGAAGTTGTCACTCATGAATGAATAAATTAGTGGATTAACGCAACTATTAAAATAACTGAGACAAAGCGCAAAGTAAAAGAACCCGTAAAATGTTTTGTCCGGCCTCCAATCATCGTCGGAGAATGCACCAACGAACTGAATCGTGTAGAAAGGCGTCCAGCAGATGACAAAGACGAAAATAACAGTCAATACCATACGCGCCACTTTCTTGGTTGGTTTCTTTGTATGACTCTCGCCTAGCGGTGAAACTCCCACGTACAGCTTCTTGATCATAAGTAAGTAACAGAGTGTAATGATGACCACTGGTAGTGCCAGTCCAAAGACGAACATGTACAACAAGAATACAGCGCCGAATGTATCATATGGCCAATCAACTGCACATATTGAAATACCGGTACCGGGAATAGTAACCGCTTTCGTGTACAGCCACAGGGGCATAACTGTGACAAACGCTACCACCCAGATTGATATGTTGACGGCACCTGCTATTCGCACTGTTCGGCGTTTCAGGCTCTTAATCGGATGTACAATGGCTAAGTAACGATCAAAAGCCATAGCAGTCAGACAGTATATGCCGGTACATTGGTTCATCCCATCAACTGCCATAGATATTTTACACCAGGCCGATCCGAACGGCCACATGTTCATAGCCTGTTGATAGGAGATGAACGGAATCATTATCATGAACAGCAGATCGGCCAATGCTAGGTTCATAATGTACACATTAGCGACCGTTTTCATTTTGTTGTGCTTCAGTATGACGTATATTACCAGTGAGTTTCCAATGATGCCCAACAGACACGTAAACCCGAACACAATGGGTATAATTATCTCTTCCAGGCGACTGTCTGCTCCACCAAAGAATGCGTCTGTGCCGTTCTCAGTCGAGTTCAGATCCATCTTGCAAGTTAGCGTATTTGCAGCACCGACTAAAGTTCGATTACTTATCAATCAGCAATGCTACTCCTGCAATGCTCTGGATATGCTAGCATTCGGTGTGGGCCTGTTGCAGTTATTAGGAAGAATATACGCAGAGCTATCTCTGTGTTGTGAACAGCCTAACGGCAAACCGCCTAATAGCCATATCCGCACCACCCACCTGTAATATATAAAAGGCGATTTGTCAGTCATTTGAGAAACGGATCGACTGACGTAGTAATACCAATTGTCATAAGACCATATACAGCAGTACCTTAATTTAACTATACTTATCATATCCAACAGAGGAAGCTGTTATGATTCACGCCATGGTACAATGAGTCCCAATACTAACTAATACATTATTAGCTGTAATCTTGTAAAAAAAGATCCTTTCTACATCAGATGCTGGTGAAATGTTAAATCGTAATAGTCGTCGCACTACATCGAGATTGATATTGGTTTTATGTGACGTATAAACGCGTGTAAAATACATTGTTTGTCAGTATACAATTCGAGCACGTGCTACACGGCGATCGCTATCACCTTTGTAAATTTTCCCATTCACGGATTCTGAAAGTCTGTCATTTTTCAGACGTCGGGAGAATTTGAAAAGAATTAAAGCGTACGTAAAATAGGAGGTTAACTATGATTGGCTAAACTCAAAATGTGTTATTTCATCGCAGCATTGTTAGTGTAAAACCTAGTTAGGGAACCATGGGTAATGATATCAACAACTCACATTTGTTTGCGTGGGCTGTTCTACATATATTATTCTTTATATTATCATGTTCTCTGTTAATATAAGTCAATATTTTCTTATCCTTAGCGATGAGGATATCTAGTTTTGTGCAGACTGAAAGTTATCGATGGTTTGCAGAAACTCAACACATATTTAATAAAACGCTGGTGTATAACAGGTGCATTTTTATTAATGTCCTAAATAATGTCTTGTTTTTTGAAATTGTAGATTAACCGCCTACAAGACATTTATCAGTATCAGACCCAGAACTATTCAGCCAAATCTCGGCAAAAGGTCATGCTCACCATAATCTTCTGATCGAAGTTCGATTGGAATAAAACTTCAAATACACATTTGAAACCAATCGTAACAATTTATGAACGAGGGTTGGCTTGCAACCCCAAACCATTAGGCCATCTAGTATACACGTCCAGTAAGTTGACTTAAATGTCTGCGGTATTTCAAATAAATCAAATAATTCAAAACTCCCTTCTCAGCCTGGTCGGGGCGCAGCTGTTCAGCCAACCCTCAAGTAGCTACTGTAACGTATTTACAGAGAAAATCTAATATAGTGGAAATCATCAATATATGTTACATAAATAAATGTAGGAATATCCGAGTCACAACACTTCAAAATTCGACTATTGCAACGAAACAGTGAAAAACATTTTTCGACCTTTTTACGGAACTCTGAATCCTTCCTCGGAACACTTGCCCAAAAAGTAGGTACGAATATGCGTTACAGGCAACACGTTTCATTTTGGATATAAGGTTAATGTTAACAAAACAACACTTTTTAAAAAAAAGTACTAAATAGAAAACTGATATTTCAATGACTTCACTGCCATGGAATTCAAATTTAAGTACATTATTTGAACACCCATTGAAGGGTAGTGTGTATGACATGCTTTGGTTATCAATTCAATTTACAATTCGTCTTTAAAAATAGTGGGATTCATAACCACGTGCTTAAACCCTATTTCCAAAATATGTTATCCCAGGTTTTGGCGGAGTAGCCCCCTGGTTGTTTACTGAATTATTGCACCAATAATATATATGTTATGTGTCAAAGGAAAGCTAAGTGAACTCATGAATAAATACATATTCATGATCTTATTTACATTTATCTTAACAAAACAGTTTAAGCGGGATGCCTTGGTTGCTTATCGCATGCCACTTAATACGCAGTGGCAGTTTGTCATGAGTTCGTTCGTTCCTAAAGCTTTTCACAAGGTGTGAAATGTGGGTGAATGGACTTTGGTAAACTACATAACATGGATACAATCATTCAGTCGCAGGTATACGCTGTGTGAACCCACGAACACTTAGTTGCAGTGTCATTCCTCGCTTCACTAATAGATTTGCTTCCTGTTAACCAGACACAATGGTTTTTTAAACGTGTCATGCATTATAAGTACGCAAGTGTTTTTGTTTTGTTTTTTGTCTGTGTGGTTATACTTAGCATTGAATTTCGAACTCAAATGGATTACTTGTCGACTTAAATTTCAAAATGTTGAAGCAATGCTGTAAAAGCGTGTTATTTGAATGGAATAAATGTCAAGTTGCTCACGACGCTCGGATTACGATAGAAATTAGCGAATGATGGTTTTACTATAATGAGTCGTAGTTTGTGATATCTAAGTACAATGAGAATCTGCTTTTAGTGTACGTAATACATGTATATTGTTGAAATGAAAACGTGCTTAGGATCGCGGGGGCGATCGCTGTGCGTGCTACGTGGACTGATGTATTTAACTTGTCGTGTAATCGATTGTGTTTAATGAAGCAGCACGAACGTACGATTCACTGCTCTCTAAAACAAGTTTGCCCGAAAGCAAGTATTATGTATTATGAAATTCAAGACACGTTCTGAATCTATGTGTGGTGTGAGTGGAACATCAACGCAAGGCAAATATACACATATTTGAGATACAGTATTTCGTAGCACTGTTGCATTGTGGGTAGTACGTTTAGATGTTTGGATGGGTAATGATGGATTCTTCATTCAGAGAGACAGGATAGACAGGACAAGACCGAGTACTTAGTATTTAAAATTTCACTTCCTGATATGTGTTGAGAATGATAATCAGAGAGGAAAGAAAGAAAACCAAGACCATACTTCGATACTTCGACTTCGATTTTAAGATTAAATTTATGTAGCGATTGCTACATATAACGTAAGCACAAATCCTTGCCCATTCCTCACACCTTACTGTTGAAAAGCGAACATCACTTGATTACTGCATTGAATAGACGAGTTATGTCCTCAAACTGCAAACTCCGTGCCCACCACCCCGATTCAAGACGCCCCATCCAAAACAAATCCCGACATTTCCGGGAGTACAGATACGCGAGATATAGAAAGAACACACCAGCTCCTAGCTCCTACAACGCACTCATGACTCCTATAAATTAATGATAAAGATGAATTGTTCAACACAGAACCACGACAAAATATTGTGCCTGGCTGCGCCCAGACCACGACGAAGTGTTACAAGTAATACTATACGTACTTTGTTATTATTTATTCAGGCTTCCAGTCTTTCATCGGAAAAGAAGATTAAGTCAGATTTGTGAACGTATTAAACTAATACAACCATGATGAATACACTGTCCTGGGACGGAGAAGGTATCCTGGGACTGATAGAAACGTGTCAGGTACGAACTGATTTAATAACTTATATACAATTTTATTTTGTAATTGTTGAAACGCCAACTATTTTAAAGCAAGACCCCCTGTGTATACCAGAAAGATCGAATCGCAGGTATTTCATCTCCGTCGTAGTAGCAAAGTGTCAATTGACCCATCGTCCGTTAGCGTCATGGTCCCCCGTTAAAGTTGCGGATATTATTTCCTACATAAACTATCCTTGGTGTAAGTAGCTTTAATCTGCGAATATCTTAATCGAAATTTTCAAAACATAAATGAATATTGTTGATAACAAGCCTCACATGGATTAAATTGTATACGTGCCCCTGGGACATGAACTCTACGCGTGAATGCCAACCGATTCGTTGCCCCGGGTAAATGAGTGCTCGAAAGATTTCAAATCTATTTGCTAGTGGACACCGGGCATGAAAGAAAATGTAATATTGTCAGAGGCATAACGATGTCGGTAATTGACGGCGAGAATCCAGACATCGCGGAAAGGAAGGGGACGTGTTAAGTGGTGAAGGCAGTGGAGCTGAAAATAGAATGTGACAGCGACTTTAGGGTAATGCTACTGAGTGAAAACCGTTGCAGTTTGATTACTTGTGCAGATTTGAGGCAATTGATGAGAAAACGGTGTGACTAGCGGGTAAACGCCGACGATGTTCAAGTTATTGATGAAAAGGGACGGGAAATTGGACAAGCATTAGCCAGACGGAGTGCAAGAAGATCTTCGGGAGTAGAACGTATGTGAGAAGATGTAGATTACATCCTCTGCTGCAGTAATATCATTTCATAAAGTTCAATATCTTACACATTAAAGTAGTTCCTTTTAAATTACTATCGCGTGGATTATTTTGTATTTGTGTTATGTCTTAGGCAAGAAAGGACGGACTATACGTATTAAACAGCATTTTTCTATTTCTTTACTTTAGTAGTCAATTAAACGGCACCATGATTCGAACTTGTCGGCGTACGTGGCACCTAAGACGTGACCAAAATGGATGATATGAATGAAGTGTTCCGCGTTCTATTAGTTAATGACAATTCTCGGGGAGAAATAATCATATTTTAAGAGATATAATGCAGCTCTTTGCGAATGAATGAACGAACGAACGTGTGGTTTACGAGTATTACAAATTGCACGCTTCGACCGTACAGACAATGTGAAAACCAGTAAAATTTGCAACCAACTACTCTTCATTAATAAATAACAATATTAATAAGCTAATGGTGTACGCAAAACAACCAATGCATATTTAATGAAGACATTATTACAAAGATCAACTCGCTGTTGATTTTCACTGGATAAGAACATAAATGGTCATTATGTCCATTTCATCTAACATTGAAATAACTTAATTACAACCTACTTCTTTATCAGCTGCAATTTTCACACCGATGCTTATAATAAATGCGAATAAAAATCAGCCTCAAAACATCGCCATTATGTTGGTATATAGTTGTCTTTGATCTCAGTGGCGTTATGCCGACTCGTATATTTTGATAACTTTATATTTGAAAGCGTTAAAGGCGGTGGCCGTCGCGCAGTTCAAGTTCAAATTTATGTAAACGACGACGTATAGAATG